CTACCATTGCTCTTGGACAGATACCTCAGATTTGCATTTGCATGTCATGCTCCCCATCAAGCATGTGAGCAGGCTACACAGTACCATGTACTGTACATTTCCCACGTATATGTACATGTAGTCTGCAGCTTTTCTCAAAAGATTTTAACACCCCCCCCCAAAAAAATCATGTGCCTCTTAAATTCCCATAAATAGTAAAGAGATGTCATCCTCCAAAATACAACTTGAAAAAGATTGAAGTCAGCATTCACCGGGATTTTAGGCTTTGAACCACATCTATCTATTGATGTCTATCTATCTAGCTCATCTGAATTGAATTATCTTAACCACATCCTGCCGGGGGCATTTATAAATATTGATTCTGCCGGGCCTGAGTATTTATTTATTTTTTTTTGTTTTCAAAATTCTTTAAAAATTCATGTCTTCATTTACTGGACACATACACCCACACTAAGGACTGTCTGGTTTCTACTCTAATCTGACAGACAACATCTATTGACGCTGGAGTATTTCAGCCAGGCCTGCTGCCTTGTAAAAAGAGCCGAGATTGTGTAGTGTTACGTTATTTTCTTTTCCTGAAACTGGCACAGTGCGCATCTGTCGTCTTTTCAATAGGGGCCAGATTAGCGTGCAGCAGTTCTGTGTGGCTCATCGCTGGGGTGGTGGAGTGCTTTTGTGCCTGGTGGTAATCCGCTTACACTGTGGCATACTGTTTCAAAAAAATGTTGGATTACCTCCACTAGTGACAGTGACAAAATGTTGGTAATTCCCAGCAACCTGGTCTTTTGTTACGAGTACAGTCTTTGTTACAAGGCCCAGTTCCCATTGTCTGATTTCGGACACCTTGGCTGTTCATATAAAGAATACGTGCCCGAAACCGGGCTCCCCGGCAGCAGGTGGTTAACAAATAAAGACATTGTGTGTGCATCTTGACATTTCCTTCTGCAGATTTATAATGAGAATATCCGGGACCTTCTCAATCCATCATCCGGTTTCCTGGAACTCCGGGAGGATGCCTCTGGCAATGTTCAAGTAGCTGGTATCTCAGAGGTCTCAACGGTCTCAACCGAAGAGGTAAAAAAAAAATTGGCAGATTTTAGTAGGCTAGAACATACTTTTTCCGTACTATATACCAAGTACTGTAGTCCCATCTGGTACTTACTCCCATCGGGTACTGTTAAAGTTACTATGCAAGCTGCTTGCTCCAAAAGGCCCAAATGTTCAAGCCTTGAAATTAACACTTAACCACTTACCGGTGGTGAGTAGATTTTCCTGAGTGGTAAGTGAATTTCAAAAACTGGTATTAAGTTGCTGGATAAGTGTGAATGAAAGCCATGGCGGATAATTTTGACTATAAATCTGACGACAAACAAATTGGTAAGTCGTTCTTAGGAATGGGTAAGTGGAAAGTCACAGGTGGGTAAGTGGAAAAAAAATTTAATTTGAAGACTGTCATCCATGTAGCACTTCATGTAGAGTACTGTCACTCGCACATGTACGTGTAGGTTGCTATTCAGTTTGTTGTTGACCAAACAAGATAAGTTCCTACAATTGGGAAAAAAATGAAACCGTTTCATGAAAGAGAGTACGTTCATGGATACCAGCAAACCCCTTCTGGAATGTTATCTGAGGTTTCCTTTTCATTATCCTATCTCCAAGTGCTGTTCAACCATGTTAAATTAAAAGAGAAAGAGAAATAAACAATGCCAGGGTTTTTTTTCAACACTGTTGATCACGTTTACCGGAACAAACTGACTTTGTCGCAAGTGATCCGTCTCTACAAGTGCAATCAATCACTTTCCCCTCCATATTAAAGAGCTGAATGTGATGAATCACTCCTGGAAATGCGAACGTGTCTGACAGCGTGTCTGTGTGGGTGTGTGGTTAGGGGAGAGGACATTTAAGTCCCCGGCTAGGTTATCCATCTGCTCCATCACTGTTTGTCAGCGAGGGATGTTGTTTTACTGTCGCTTCACCTTGGTGGATGAGGAGGAACACTGTCAGTTTGTCATAGAATACGTGGCCCATCATTTATTCAGCAAGGCTCCTCTCAACTGTATGACCCTCTCTCTCTCTCTGCCAAGGACAGGCCTTTTTCTCAAGAGGTTTCGATTTACAGAAAGGAAGCCTCCCCTGTTGGGTCATTAAAATTCATAACTCCATCGGC